AAGGGTGCCCTCGCTTCACTGCTCATTTCCGACTGACTCCAGTAAAACACCTATATAAAGCCTAGTCGGCAGCTTCGGATGCATGTCATTTGGAACAACATGTTGGGCAGGTGAGCTAACCAGAAAGACTTGGCTTCTCTCCGCGATTCCTCCCGATCCACGGGACCGTTCCCGGGGACCGGTGCGGTCCCAGCGGCAAAGACCGCCGTGCTGCGCAGCTGCGCCTTTAACCGAAAGCGCGTGCAAAAGCGCCGTGGGTGTGAATTGGTGAAAGAGATGGAGGTGGTGAAGGCACATCTTGGGGAAACATCCGATTCATGGTGTTTTTCTTTGCTTGTTTTCTTCACTCAAAAAGAAGGAGACGAGCAAACTCACAAAGACCTGGGCCGCTGGGACGCTGGGCGGTCGGTTGCTTCGAGGATCTGCAAAACTCAGGGACCCAAAGTGTACAATGTCCACTTAACCCCCCCGCAGTCAAGACAAGTCTTCAAAACTTGAGACAAGTCTGTCAATGCTGATGTATATGGGGATTTCAGCAACCTGACTTGGGAAGGATTGACGTCTATCAAGAGTCTCTCCTTTGGTTAGTATGCTCTGCTTTTTCGCCAGCGCCCCAGGTGTCATTCGCTCGGAAATCCCTTTGGTGGATCCGCTCGTTGAACCTCGGAGTACCAGCCTTCGCGTAGGCGTGCATGACCAGCGCCAAGTCCTGGCCAAAACTCTGCTTCATAGTATTGGAACAAGGAATCCTTCTACCTACCACCATCCAAACTGTATAGTCCAATCAAAAAGCCACATGTAGTCCAAAGTAGTTCATGTCCTGAGCATCAATCCGGGATGATTCGTGACTGGTCTGCGCCTTTTAGAGCTAGAACCACTCACTACTGGATCCACAAAGCAGCTTCTTTCACCTGCAACGACCAGATGCAGAAAAAAACCTCCCCGCCAACACGAACGCGAACGCGAAAATTGACCAAACCCACCGCCACAAACCACCACCCCACCTTGACCCGGAAGTGCTGGCCGTTGGCGACGGCAAAGGCCGGTAAAAGCTGGCCGAAGAGCGTCCTTCTCGCACGCAAGCGCTGCTCTCGTGTGGGTTTTGGGGCAGTAAAAGCCACCAAATGGTGGTCAAAACAGGGAGACCCTGGTTGCTGCCAAATGGGTTGGGGACCGATGGCACACCCCTTCTCTGCCTGGTTGTTTGTACCATCCACTACAGGCTAAGTACTAAGATAATTACTAGGAGTGATATATAGTTAGTGAATGCTCCTACCATTCTTCCTCAAATCAAACGTGCTTCGCCCTCTTGACTCAAACACCATAGTCCACAAAAGCGAAAACTGTCTGTCACGCCGCCACCACAACAACTACAACCACGAGTGAACCCTGTCCCAGGGCCTTTCCACCACCATGAGCCGCGCGTAGGAGTTGGCGATCAACGAGGCCTGGAAGGTGTTACACTTCCTCGGATGCCGTGGTCTGCGCCGCGACCGCTCTCAGCGATCTGTGACAGGCCTGGACGCGGTGTCACACCGGGCCTTTCGGAGGGTCACAGACTAGGTGGACTGTTGATTCATGAAACCCCCGTGTGTAGGGTAGATGTGAAAGCATGTTGGAAAGGGAGGGCTATTTTATGAACAGTCTACATGTCACGCTCCTTCTAGAGAATCAATCGTAGGAACGCCCCACTTTGAGTGGAATCTTATGGAATCTTCAGGAAGTACAGGGAGCCGTAAAGTCATGCGAAAAAGGTCTGCTTGCCCAAAACACCTCTCTGACACCGACAGATTCAAAACCCAATGTCCCAAAAGCCTCGCCCGCGTCAGCTTGAACCCCGCGGAGCGGCGGCCGAGAGACTGGAACTTCATCCGCAACTCCCTGGAGAGGCGCAGAATGTAGTCCTCATCCCGGATGAGCATCCTGAGGCGCGACTTTGGGCGATCTGACACCTTGCTGTCATCCCTTTCACCCACTTCGACGGATCGTTTGGACTTCAAACCCGACGAAGCTCTGCAGGTGACCCCGGATCGACGAATTCCGATTCGGAATCAGCGTCTAGCCAGTGGCGGATCGTCTGTTTCTCTGACTGGGCGGACGTGGAGAGGACTCAGCTGGTTGGAAAGGAATTGCACATGTTGGTTGCGGGCCCTTGCGGGCCCTTAGCCCCATTAATGTTATATTTATCTTCTTATTTGCTTCTTGTAGATGAGAGCCTGAGGAAATCGTCCCTATAAAATTGATTCTCATTCATTATTATTATCATCACATCTTGGAGGATCTGACCCAACCTTTTCATTTATCCCAGTAGCCCCTTAGCCACTAGGGGCCACCAGGATCCAGGTGTGCTTTAAAACTAGGAGGAAAGGAAAGTCAACGTCAAAGCCATGGGTTGCTATGTCAAAGCTTTCTGGGGGTGTATAGCGTGAGACATGCCTACATCCAAGCATGTCCGCATGGGAATGTCAGCTGCCGCTGCTCAGTTGCAGGGATCCCAGAAGAAGAATGACTCCGAAAAATCTTGAAGATTCGGATCATCTTGGCTCCATCCCCCCTGTCCCAAAGCCAGGCTGCTTCCTTAGGACACACAGAACAAGGTCCAACAAACAAGCACGAAAAGCAAATGGGCCAATCAACAAAACCAACCAACCACCAAGGCTTACCCAACAGCACCAGTCGCCCACCTGGACAGCGACTCCTTTCCGGTTGCGGTCCGTCCGGTCACGGCACCTGGCCATGGCATTGGCCGCGGTGGCGAGCTGTCGCACATTGCTCTGCCCCAGCAAACGCTTGGCACGGTCCTGGAGACACTAAGAATAGAGAGGATAAAAACAGGGTAAACCCGAGTACTGTATAGCCGCCCATCCCATATGTACCACAGACCAGGGGCCTAGTTCTGGTCTCTCAACCTCTCTTGGTAAGAATGAGCAACCTGAAGTTTGCCTGCGTCAAAGACACCGTCTTCGTCTTAGAAATCGCGGCCTTGCCAACCGTCACGGAGGTCTGGAGGATTCGGGAGATGGGCCGAAAAAGGGGAGCATCTGCTCCAAGAGTCGGATGGTATGATCGATCCAATCACGAGAATGACACGTACCGGAATGCGCACGCCCAGCCAGGAGGGTGTCGAGAAACCCCACACCCATCTCTCACCTCGGCGGTCTGGCCGTCCTGGTAAGCATCTGCCACCTCATTAGCCAAATCTTGCACCGGAGACCTCCGGCCGCGGGCAGAGGTGGCGGGTGATTGCGCACGAAGCGCTGGTTCTTTTTGTGAAGTAGCTGTGGGTCAAGACCCTGGTATATACCTCGGTGAAGACTGATAGAAATGAAAAGGAACCCTCTATCTGCAAAAGGTAGTTTGCTGGTTTCCCGGTCCAACAAATTCTCATGCTTGCCGAACTGAACTTCACGTGATCCATCCACCTGCACCGCCACACCAGACTCATAACTATACCGAACCTCACCTGCATCCCCACTCTCCCCATCCACCATCCACCATCCGCCATCATCCGCCAACCTCACCTGGAGCAAGCGTTCAGCACCCGTGCCGCACATTGCGCATCCGCGTGCTTCACCACCTGCAGCGCTCTTTGCAGGTGGCCCTGCCACGCGCCACGGTTCACACTCCGGCGCCGCGCGAGCGCCTGGCGGCACTCTTTTTCGCAGGCGCTGCATGTCAGTGCATGTCCGCAACAACTGCAGTCCACTGGGATCATCTGGGATCCTCTTATCCACCAGACATGCACCCAATATGAAATACCGGTCGCGCAGGATGCACACACCGCGACGGCCTGGAGACTCTTGGCCACCAAAAGGGGGTCCTCAAAGGCTACGCGGTCCAAGCGCAGCGCCGTCAAGCGCATTGCAGCGCATCGAAGCCATCGCAGCGTGAAATCGGCAACAAAGTGGTGGGTGACTGGTCTATCTCGGTGTTTCTTGCGCTGGTGCTACCGGAATTAGCCCCAAATTCTGGGTTGATGGTTAAAACATTCACTTAAGAAACTGAAATTGAAGCAAAATCAGAGTGGAATGGCATTAAAAGGGGAGCCCTCACAACACAACCCATCTCCAGTCAGGCTGCCATGGACGGGTCGTTGGACATCTGGGCCTTTGCTACAGAGACGAAGTCAAACACTCGTAACCAGCGGGTTTGAGACAAAGAGAAGTCTCTGAATGGAGGAAAGAATGCAGGAAGATGAAGAAATCTATGAACTTGTAGCATATTGCTGTGACATGTTACATCATTATAGGGAGAGAAGGGAGAGAGATAGGATTTTTTCACAAATAATGATCTCCCCTTGAAAAGCACCTCCTCTTTTTTCTCACCCTGTGGAGCTCATGGTGTCTCTTGTTGCCCCTGGCCAAGCCAAAAAGCTCGTTGCACATCGCGCAACCGATCTCTGCACCCCATCGGGTTGGTGACCGCTCCGAGGCGAAAACCACAAGCACCACATCCGGTCTGCCACCCACGAGTGAAATGGAGGAGTTTGGACAAACTGAGATTTGGGAAGATGCGCTCAGAATCCAAAGGACATCTGGTTCAATTTGAGCGGCGCTCTGGCACCGCTACCCAGCCGACGTTCCTTGCCGAAAAGGAGCTTGATAACCTTGAAAGGCACCCCCATTTCAAGCCCAACTCACACGGCTAGTGCCAGAGGAAAAAGAAGGAGTTGTAGCACCTCAAGAGATGCGAATAGGCAGTCTTCAAAAGCCTATTTATGGTCACTCCTTGAAACAATCATGGAAGTGGAAAACCACCTGCTGGTAGAGGAAAATGGAATTCTCGAACTTCTACTCAGCCTGCAGCCCCTCCCTCCTCTCCAACACCGGCACCACAGGTAAGCAGAGACTTGCCAGAGATGTTTTGGCATAAGAAACACAAGACCTCACAAAAAGCATAGAAACCAACAATATCAAACAATCTACAGTAACCACGATTAAACACCTATTCCACCACGCTTGTTGCCCCTTCTCTCCAGCTTCAGGCTCCCTCTCTACCGCCTCGCGCAGCACCGACTCGGCTTCCCCGTGGCGCCCCTTGGCCTCCTCACGGCGAACGGAACCGTCGGCCCGACGAATGGACGACGCCCGACCAGTCGCTCAGTTGGATGGCACTCAGTCGAACAGAAACCGAAGCCAAGCCATCAAGCCATCTCAGGCCAGCTGAAGCTTATAGCCTTGTGGCAAGTCCCGAGCGTCCAGTGGCAGTTAGCCGTCTCAACTGGGGTTGGGGTGTCAGGAAAGCGAAGCCAAGCTGCACCTTTGACTCGGGGGCTTTCGTCTGTTCGGGTGCCTCTGGGCACTCACTCTCCATCCCCAGGCCTGGTGCTGGGCGGAATGCTCCGCCAGGGCCGCCTCGCTTCCAAGCGGCTCTGTGAGAGAAAGAAGAACTGCAGGCGCTCCGGAGGGTGGAGTGGAGGGTCCATGTTTTCGTGGGCAAAAAACAACACATGAAAATCTCAAGGTAAACCGAACATGGGTCTTCGGACGAAACCAGGTGCGGGACAGACCTGTGTGTTTTTCTGCTCGTGCAATGAACAAATCGGAGAGGAGGGTCACCCACAGCTCGTTGCCCAGCTTGCTGTGGAACGTCGAACGGATTGAGCATCTGTGGTGGGAAGAGACCTTAAATCCTTTTCTCATCCAGCATCACTTGTTGTGAGCTCACAGTTCTGTGCCCACAGCCCACAGAAATCCCAAGTTCAACATATCTCTTGCAATTCCATGTTACAAATCGCACGCTTACTTACTTCTCACCTGTAGTTTTCGCATCCTCTATCCATTTAGAGCTTCACCTCTCATCCCCCCAGATAAGAAAACTCCCTTCCACTCCCCACCCCATCTGTCCCCCCGAGTCCCCTCTGTCTCCTCCGCCCGGCCGAGTCCCACCGTGCATCTCGTCCCACCACGCCTGGATGCGCTCCAAGGCCACGGCGATGCGCCGCTGCTCCGTGGCGATCTTCTCCAGCTGCGCTTCCTGACAGCTCCGCGGCGGTCCGTTTCTTCCGGCGAGCGGCGTCCGTGGAGGTGGCGGTTTTGGTTCGTTGCGGCTTTGTTTCGGTGGAAGGAGGAGGCTGCGTGACGGCGGAGAAGTTCAGAAGGTTGGAGGAAAAGCAGCATCCAACGCTGAGGCGAGGCTGGGTGAAAGGAACCACACCGAACCGGAAGGACTTACAGTACCTCTTTAAGAGTCATGCAAGTGGACATCCTGGCCCCGAGAGGAAGACCATTTTCCTCTACCAAGAGGTGGTGAACTCCACTTCCATGATTAATGGGAGTGGGTCCTCTTCCAACCATCTTCAGATGCCAAGTGGCCCGAACGTCCAGCTCGTCTCGCCAAATGCACCTCGCATTCCGTGACCCCGAACGGAAAGTCCATGATCATTGTCTATGCCATCAAAAACCATGAAGGCCAAGAACCACCTAGGCCTTCAACCTAAAACTGCATGGTAACTATCCTGCTCACCTCCAATGTAGAATACACAAAGGTCTCCCCCGCTCCCCCAAACTCTCACATTGGACGTCCGCATCTACCAACCCTGCAAGTGGGTTGCTATCTTCGTCTCGGTGCTGGGTCAACCCATGAGAAGATTGAGCCAGGTGAGACTTGAAGGAGCTCTGTGCATGAGGCTCGGAACCACGGGATCCTTCCACAGCGCTGACAGCATAGCAGGAAAACCCGGTAGACATTGAGACCTCTAACCAGGCTGTCATCTCTAAAACTGTCTCCATACTAATGAGTGAATGGTGTTGGGTTTTGGACATGTGGCTGTGGGTCAAACGGAGGGACCTTGGTTGACCAGCGAAAACGACCAGAACAGACTGCAAGGCTCCGTCTCTCACCTAGACTTGGGTGAAACGGGCTCCAGGTTCTGACTCACAGCCATGTCACTTAAGTAAGGCCTTTTCTGTCTGGATTGCTCTGCTCAGAAAGTCCCTTCAAAATCTACTCCCCAAGGCCCATCCGCCCATCGGCGCCGGGCCGCCTATGAGACCTGGCGTGTTCGACGACGATTTCGTCAGGATGCCAGAGGCCTAGAGCCCACATGCCCCAACGACCTACCTCGAACTCCCATTAGCCTGATTGACCCCTGTTTTGGAGCCAAAACATTGTCTTTTCCTATCAAAACAAAGGTCATGTCTGGATTCCAGGTGAGTGAGTGTAAGTGAGAAACATAGGAGGGCCGTTTTGGAGTTGTCGAGGGGCCCAAATGATCTACACCAACCTGATACCGAGCTCACGATGGCGACCAGTGCCGGCTTCATTCCCTCGCTAGGTTTGCGGTCCTTCAGGAAAAACAAACCTTGGCTCTGAACATATATGCAGGCACCAGCTGTGCCCGCCTCGATGGAATTCGCAGTTCGCGTGACGGCTGATCTAAGTGAACTGCAAGAAAGGACACAAGAAGGGACCGGTGAGTTGCTAAAGGTTTTGTGAGTGTCCCAGCTCCATCTCTTAAAGATAACATACTTCGGAAGCGACTACCTGCATGCAGTCCTGCTTTATGTTTCGCGCATAAAGAGTCCTTCGGAATGAGATCGCTAGCATGGAGCAAAATGTCATGTAAGTAACAAATGGCCACTGCTTTCAATATGTCTAAACAAACAAGCCCCAAGCGAAAAGGAGGTTTACATACTTCAAACTGAACTCCTTACAAATCGACCCCTTTTCGTCAAGAGTCTCGGTCTACGGCCTACTATGAACAAACAGGTCATCAGAACTCTAACATAGTGCAGCAACCTTGTCCACACCCATCCCTTCAACTTCATCACCGCGCACCCAGGCAGGGACCGCTTCGCGGCAGCCTCTTCCTGTCCGGCGTGGGCTCCGAGTGTGTTCTTCCGCGCGCGGCCGGGGAGGGTGGGGGGTCCTTCTGCGCTCGTGGAGCTCGCCGAGCTCGGTCGCTCGTGGAGAGCTCGGTCACTCACAGAGCTGGCACCAGACCGACCGATGGACCAACCTGGGAGGTCAACCTACTATAAGGCTTTAAAGGCTCCCGGTTTGGACCCACAGCCATATTGGCTTGGGGGGGAAATGCAATTAGTCTTCCATGTTTTTTAATTCTATGAGTTTGTCCAAATCGACCAGCCGCGGCAATTGAAGCTGAAGTCACGCCACATCCACAAATCAACAAATGAATGTGAGCAGGTAGGTGTGTGACAAAATACACGCCATAGACCATATGTCATGCCTCACTTTGCTTTACACTCTTGCACTGAGCAAGCTCATATACAAACCTGAAAGGGATGTGCTTTGGAAATATGCTGCCTGTTAACAAAGGGACAACTAAAGCAGGGCGTTGCCAGGGATGGCACCTGGTACATAGCTCTGCAAGCTGCAAGTAGAACTGCAACTAGCAAGTGCGGTGATTTCAGGTCATCAAAACCCAACCATGTCTCGCTCGCTCTTGATTAGAACCGACCTAATCTGCAGCTGGAAAATATGTGCAACCTGTAAGTGACTTGACAAAGCACACCAGCTTATTAAAGCCACAAGGCTCCTTTGCATAGCAAGAACGACATTCATCAAACACACACCTTGATTGATGCCCGGCAATTTGACAAAGTGCTCAGCGCTTCTTTTTGGGTTTGGCCAGCCCAGCTGCCAAACTCGCTAAGACCTTCCTCTCCAGGGCAGGAAGCAAGGTCGAGACCTGCCGCGAGGAAACAAAGAAAAGGGAGATGGTCAGGGACGATCAACATTCGCTCTCCCAGACTTGGGCATGGACCACGGACAAGGGAATGGACTGGCGACTCAACAGAATAGGTTTGGGGCTCGGAGTCCCCAACTTTCCCAAGAAAAACCTAAGAAACATGTGCTTTTGAACATAAAAATCATTTGGTCAGAAGTGTTTGCCACAGTCCATCAGCAGCAGACTCAACCCGAAACTCAGCACTCCAAAGTGCAAATCCATGGATTATTGCCTGATTCTTGTGGATGTCTCCATTTCACCCTGTTCCTCTAAACCTGTAGAACACGTGGATCGCACGGCCGCCTCACAACCTTTTCCTGCAAAAAGTCGGCATGGCTTTGGGGTAAGATACGGCCCCTATGATTGGGCCGGGATGGCAACCGAGGTTTCGGGACTCAGCTTGGATCGACCGATGTCTCGAGTTTCACAGCCTCCCAAAATGTGGTGAGTCCCGAACCTTCGGATCTCGGCCGTGCTATGGCCTGCCTTCTTGGCGGACTCTCGCAACTGCATGGCGTCATCTGTCGGCTTGATGCTAAACATGCCAGACATGACCACCTTCCGCAAAGCTACGTTCGAACCACCTACCTTGGTCAGGCCGTCTGCGATCATGGCCATGTGTTCAACCCATTTGACTTGCCCTTGGAGGTTTCGAAGGTCGTCCCTGACGATCTGGATCTCGATGGCCGTTCGCTTGTCCGAGCCACCGATAGTCTCTCGTGACAAGTGGTCGTACAGTGACTTTGCATCGACCACTGCCAGGCTTTCCTTGAGGTACTCTTCCGTGGCCTCTGAGCTGATCACCATGAGCTCTTCGGTCTTCAGCTGTTGGCGCCAGTCTCTGATGTTCAGCCGGCCGTCCTGGAGCTCTTTCATCAGCAGCATAGTCCAGGTGAGTTCAGCTAGCCCCTTGGAGAGACTTTGAGTCTCGGCAGCCATGGTGCTGTTCACAACCCGCTGCAGTTTGGCGCTCCTCCATGACAAAATGTTGGTAGGAGCTGCGACTCCGTCCCTCAGCCAGCTTTCATGGGCGACGACCAAATGGCCACCTTGAGAGTGGAAGCCGTTGTTGGCGTATGAAGCATCCGTGACCACGCTGAGCTTCATCTTCTTCAGGGGCTGAATCATCAAGCTCAAGGCGGAGTGTTCCTTGAGGTCCTTCACCACCGAATTGAGCTGCTTGATGTCCTCGACGGTCAGGCGGCTTAGCTTGGATGCCATCAGACTTGATGGACCAGCTGCATCTGGTCGCCCCTCTTTGCTCAGCCAGTTCAACGCCCCGCATGTGGCTCTGGCCTCACTTTTCTCACGCTCAGTTGCCGGCTCTTTCTTCAGCGCGCTTCTTCCCTTCTCTAGGGTGACTGGTTGGAGCCTTTCTTCCACGAACTTGCACATGTCGATGAGGAAGCCTCCGTCCTTAGTTTGCTTGATTCTTCTTCCATTGAAGGCTGCACCATCGGGCTCGTCCTGCAAGACGACGTACTTGCCGAAGGTGTACTTTCTCTGCAATTCCTTCATCATCTGATGGTGTCTTTCGTGGCCGACCGTGAAGAGGTCGTCAACTTCCACTGCGATCGCTCCTTGAAGCGTCCGGTGTTTCGGATCGTAGAGCTTGAAGATGCACGGATCCAGCGCTGATGACTCGTAGCCGAGGGCCTTCAGGTCTTCTGTGAGGCTCTTGCGCCAGTGGAGTGGCGCATCCACCAACCCGTAGCATCCGTTGATGATGCGCACGATTTGTTCACGGTGTAGCCCGATCACCCCTTCTTTTGGCTGTTGGAAGTAGAGCGGCCCATTAGGCCGTAGAAGCGGCCTGCTTTGGCAGAAGGCATTCTTCAGATCTCCCACCGTCGCCTTCATGTTCTGGTTGGCGGCTATCTGCAGCAGGATGTTGAAATTCACTGTGTTCAATGTGGGTGCGAACCTCTCCAGCTCAAGTGCATCGGGATCCTTGTCGCCTCTGATGCAGAGTCTGGACTTCTTGATTGGTGGTTCTCCTGGCTGCTCGGCCGGTTTGTATCGCCGGGCGATCTTTGTGGGGAGAATTCGATCTTCTTTGCCTTCTTGTTGGAGCTGAGCCCTTATCTTCCGAGACTCTTCTAGGGAGAGCACGTCAACTGCTCCACTGGAAGTGACCTTTGTCCATTCGGAGAGGTCTGATTGAGCCCACTCCTCACGACCTTGTTCGTCTTCTTGAGCTAGGTCCACATCATCTTGACCTTTCCTTTCCGCAGCCCATGCCTCCAGCTCCTTGTGGTTCTTAACGGTGAAGGTCGTTGAACCAGTCCACCAATATGCTGTCGGGCGCAACTCCTTCTTGACCCAGTCGTCTTCCTTGGTGTCAGAAATCTTCTTCTGGCAGAGGGTGGTCTTGCGCACGGGTCCTAGACATTCTATTGGAAATGGAGCATCTCCACTGACCCTGGGATCGAATGGGGCTTTCCTCCTCCTCAGATGGTGACGGGTCATAGTGCCCTCCTTGAGGTTCACCTCCCAGTAGTCTTTGTGGTGGTGACGACGGTCGAGATTTCTGGCCCGATCTTTGCGCTCTTCCTCCACCTGTCTCTGTTCTTCCTCCGCATCCGTGGCCTCCTCGTCGCCGATGAAGTACCATTCCTTCTCTGTCAAGTAGGGGGGCTGCCGCTTGGTATCGTTGCCTCAAGCGAAGTATTGGACCTGATGATTGATCTGGATGTCCGTCTAATCTCCAGGCCTGGCTGATGGAGCGGTCTAAAGTCTCTCTGGAGTGGTTTGCATCCTCCGGACCAGCGGGAGCTGTGATCCCCGCCCGGTCTGGCAGAGGTGGAGTCTCTGGCACCCCATCTGGATAGGGGTTCCATAGTGGTGTGGCTGGTGCTTCTTCCTGCTCTGGCTCGGCTATTGATCGTCTTCGAACCTGTGCCTCTTGGATTGGCTCAATCTCTTCGTCTGCCACAGTGGGGACATAGCTCAACTCATCAGGATCTGGCTGGATTCTCACCCTTCGACCTGGCTCTTCATCCGGACTTTGGCCTTCTTCATCATCTGGCCATGGGTCGTCCGTGTAGTCTTTGTACCCAGATCGGTGAGGTGCCCTTTTGAATTCTTCTATCAGCTCTTGGCATTCGCTCATCACTGCCTCAATGCCCGTCTTTTCATCGTCGGTGGCTGGTCTGCATTGTTCTCGGGCAACTTTCCAAACTTCTCCCAGCATCGAGATCCATAGGTTCGCGCCATCCGGCATGATGACGACTCCAGGACCTACCCAAGTCGCCTTGTTGGAGTGCTCCTCGATTGGAGCTGAGTGCTTCCTTTTCCTTTGTCTTGGGACTCGGTAGACGAACACGTACTCTCCAGGCTTGTAGTCGGTCCAAATTCTTGGTCTGGCCCGAAGTGCTTTCTTCCATGACTGTCTTGCGTTGTACTCACAAAAGGCTTTGTGAGCCACCCGCCTCATTTCATGAAGCTTCTCGATGTCGTCCACCATCATGCCGTTGATGAGCATGGGATCCACTCCTTCGTCTGACAGAATGGCCGTTGGAAGTCTTGGCCACTGTCCAATCTGCCTCTGAATCGGAGCAAAACCGCTCCTATTGGAGTACCGATTCTTGGCCTGCTCCACCTCCATGATCAAGCGGCGAAGGTCTCTCTCGTCTTGCACCACCGTCTCAGATCTGGCCTTATCCAGCAGCTCCTTGAAGTGGCCTCCATGTCGTTCCGTTTTCCCTGCTTGCCAGGGGGGCTTTTGCGGCTATCTGGTGCACCACGATGCCTTCAGCTGTAGCTCGCTGGATGAAATGTCCCATGAATTCGCGTCCAGCATCACAAACAATGACTTCTGGTTGGCCGAATGTTCTGGCCCACGTGGACATGAAGGTGTCCCAGATCTCCTCTGGACCTTTTGAGCTCAGCAGTTCACACATCTGGTAGTTGGTGCCCCAATCGACCATATTCAGGACCGGGGTAGTCAGCCTGCCACCACCGGGAGCCGCAATGTAGAAGAGGTCGAGACCGAGCACTCTGCCCGGTTGGAACGAACGAGGCAGCGTAGTTGGTCGCGCTGCCTTTGGGTGTGCTTTGGCTTCGCACACATCGCACTTGAATTCCTTGGCGGCCCATCGGATGATCTCTCCTTTCACC